GGGACACACCCGTCCCACTGTCAGTGAGTGGTGTGCCGGGTGGAGGCCTGGCTCACCTGGGTGCCTCTAATGCCCGTGGCTGACGCTGCAGGCCTCAGAGTGCCGCCAGGGACACGTGGGAAACCCTTACACTAAGCCCACATGCAGGCAGCCTGTGGGTCAGTGCTCAGTCCCTACAGGAGGTAGGCACCAGCTGCTCCTGTCGCGATTTCCAGCCTGGGGCTCCTGCAGGCTCAGCTCCTTCGAGTTGCTTGGCAGCAGCGAGCCCTGGTTTCTTTGGGACCCACCTGGGAAAGACTGTGTGGTAGAGCATCAAATGTCAGGAGGCTTGCTCAAGGACTTACAGCACGAGTGTGTTTGGGGACCCTCAGTGGCCTTTCTCACCAGGAGAAGCTGGAGTGTGGGGTGGGGGCTCAGGACAGCAGGTGTAAGGGCTTTGGGCCTGCAGATGAGCCGTGTGGCAGGAGTGGCCTCGTGGTGGGGGCCCTGTTAAGCTCTTGCCTGTCTGTTTTCTCCCAGGCTTTGGGGCCTGGGCTGTGGCTCAAGATCTCGGGGGGCACGCCTAACACCCCTGCACCCCATACACCTGGGGGCTCACCCATCTCTTCCTTCCAGCTGCCGGGAACGCGTTCTGCCAGGCAGCCCAGCTGCACCTGCAGCTTCAGAGCAAGCACGATGCTGCCACCTGCTTCGTGGATGCTGGCAATGCCTTCAAGAAAGCTGACCCACAAGGTGAGGCTGGCCAGCTGGAGGCTGCCACGCGGCTCCCTCCTGGGAGTGCCATCCCAGGCCCTCGGTGCACCAGGGCAGGGGCAGCCATCTGTTCCCGGAACAGAATCAACCTGCACAAGGAGGCAGCTTCTAATGCCGGCCAGGTAGCAGGTGCTGCCAGAAAGGAAGCGGAAATTCTCCCACCTGGCATCTCTGTGCCCGGAAGGAGGGGGATGTCACCGGGAACAGAGGCCCAGCCAGAGCTGGGAGATCAAGCAGCCGCCACCCAGCAGGAGCAGGGTGTGTGTGGAGGATAGTCTTTGCCCAGCTGGGCTGCACCTGAAGCAAGAGCATTGCCCGGGGTCTCAGACTTTGAGGTTTCGTTTCCTTACTTTGAATCTCCGTGTCGCAAACAGCGACGTGAACCAAAGAGGGTGCTCAGTGATAGACTGCTCCCCTTGCTGCGGTGCATCTCCACTTGGCCGCAGCTGCAGTGATGCAGGACACGATTCATCAGCACTCCGGGGCTATGCTGAACCCAGGAAGAGAAGCCTGGTGATCCACTTCCAAAACCCAGCCCGGGGAAACCCTGTACACCCTAACAGCCAGGGTGCGCTCGGTCGGGAGGTGGGTGCAGGGTCAGGCATGTGTCTCCCCGGGATCAGGTGAAGGCAACGAGTTGGGAAGCCAGCTCTACGGCAGTTAATGACACCTGTCACCATCCTTTGAAGGGAGAGGAAGCTGTGTGGATGTGTGAGAGAGAGAGAGAGAGAGAGAGCAAGAGAGAGAAATGTTACAAGTTGCTATTCCGTCAGTTCCAACTCTGGCTGTGTGAGTCCCGGTGGACCAGAGAAACCAATCCAGGGAGACTCACAGGTGTATAAGAAAGAGCTTGATATAAAGAGTATTGTGTATCAAGAAAACATCCTAGCCCAATGCAGATCAAGTCCATAAGTCCGATATTAGCCCATATGTCAGTATTAGTCCATAAATTCCTCTTTAGACTCACGCAGTCATGCAATGATGCCAAATGCAGGAAGATCACAGGCTAGTGGGTGGAAAGTCTTGTGGATCCAGTGGTGGTGGAAGCATCTCAACACTGGCAGGGGTCTCCACGTGACTCCTCTAGCTCCTGGCTCTGGCTCTGTTTCTGGCTCTATCAGCGGAGCTCCATATGTCTTGTCAACCACGAAGCAGGGAGAGAGTATACCAGGCCTCCAGTGAACTGTTTCTCTCTCTGTTGCCTGCAGATGAGGTCATCAAGCAGCGACCTGATCGACAGGCTTAACTCCACCCCTCTGAAAGTTGACACCAGATTATGTAGCTACCACAAGGGTGACCCAGAGGGAAGTGCATTCCATAGGATCACCAGGCCTTTCTTAAAAGGTGCCTCTGGCCGGATTTGAACCAATAACCTAGTGGTTAACAGCCAGCACTACACCTTTGTGCCACATGGAGAGGCCACATGAGGCATGATCTTGGGCTGAGGATCAGGAGGAGCCGCGCTCGGCTGGGCCCCGGGGTCCATTGCGACCTGGCTCTCAGGCCAGGACTCCAGAATGGCAGGGATCCGTGGTTTCCCGTGGGGACACAGTGGGATCTGCCCTCCCAGCCAGGCAGACAGCTCATACTGTGGCTGGGAGGACCCTGGGTGGGCCTTCCCTGAGGGGAGATCTCCTGGCGGGCTGGGCCTCTCTGCCAGCCAGGTGCCATGGTGATGACCTAGGGTATTCCAGCTTATTTTCTGCCCAGAGCCCCCTGGGGAATCTGGTTGACCTGGAGACGCCTCTGTGGATCCTGAGTGACCAGAAGGACTGGTTTCAGGGCTGGCCAGCAGAGCCGCTCTCCCTGTGATGTGTGCTCTTTTGTGACTTGGACTGCGGGGACCTGTTGGCTGTGATGGTTGTCAAGGAGCAGGGGAGGCTGCAGCGGGCACAGGAATGACGGCATGCTAAGGTGGCCTGGGCCCCGGGCACTGTGGGCTGGTGGGACTACCCTGTGAGGCCGTAGGAGGGGCCCGCATGCCAAGTGAAGAGCCTAATTTGGGCAGGTTGTGGTGTGAGTGGGGTGCCAGCCCCAGCCACTGGGACCTCAGTCAGCCTGGGGTGGGGGATGGGTGCCTTTGCACCAAGTGCTGGCAGCTGCTTTGTGTCTGAGATCACCTGGGCATCACAGCGGAGTCCTGTGGGAGCCCTGTGCTGGCACCTTCGGGGGCCTCTGCTCGGGGAGCAGCCACCACCACCTCTGAGGCCCGGGGGTGGTGCAGGCCTTTCCTGGAGCCTGTTTGCCCACGGGATGAATGTTTCGAGAGGCAGGCCTGGTCCCCGCCTCCTACCCCGTCCTGACTCCTAGCCCATGGCCCCACCCGCTGGCCAGGAACCTTGGGGGATAGAACCTGGAGCCTGGGGGTGCATTTGAACTTGTCCCGTGGTTCCACACACGTGGCTGGGCCCCCAGGCCTATCTCACCCATGCTGGACTGGGGGGGAGGGGTGTCCTCCCACTGTACCCACTCCTGTGCCCCTGCTGCCAGTTCCTGGGTACCTGCTCTGCCCCAGATGCTTAAAACCCAGAAAGCCAAACCCACTACCATGGAGTTGATTCCGACTGAGAGTGACCCGGGGTGTAGGACAGCAGAGCTGCCCTGTGGGCTTCCAGGGCTGTGGGTCTTCATAGCGGCAGGCTGCCCTTGCCACTGGTAGGCTCCAACTGCTGACCTTGAACGCTTAACTGCTCAGCCACTAGGGTGCTTCCCAGATGAGTAGCCTATGCTTTGACCACTCAGCTTTCTTGTGAGCCCCTGGGGGGTGTGGGGGGCAGGGAAGGCCCAAAAAGGCAGGACCCCACTGCAGGGCATGCCAGCACCCTCCCTTCTTTGCCCAACCAGGGGATCCCTGGAGCCCCTTGCAGGGTGGCTGGAGGAGGGATGGGGAGTCTGCCCCTTCAGGGGCCTTTCTTGTGTGTCAGCCCTCCCCCCGAGCTCTGCTCCCAGCAACAGCCATTGGGCCAGATAGATGCACAGGGTGGTTTCCGTCCTTAGATCCGTGCTGCTCCCCAGGTTCAGCTGCTTGAGCCCTGCCACTGTCACACACACACTCAGGGCGTCCCCTCTGAGCAGCAGAGGGAGCCAGGGAGCAGCTACGGAGGGGGAGGCAGCACCTTCTCACCCCTCACACCCCACCCCGCTCGCCACCTGCTGCCCCTCCACGCCTCAGAATGTGCTCTGCTGGTTTGTGTGTGTGTGTGTGTATGTACACAGGCACACCTTTGGGGCGGGACTCTGTGCTCACCCTCTTCCCAGCCCCCACCCACCTGTGTTCCTTACCTCTGACCCCCCTTCCTGCTGCGCGCAGCCCCCCCGCAGCCCCCGTCCTTACGTCCATATCGGAGTCAGGACTGTGCATGTGCTCAGAACTTCTCCGAGGTCCCACATTGGTCCCCTCTCCGCAAGATGACGTACAGACACCCAATTTGGGGGCTTGAAAATTAGGGAGGGGCTGAAAACCCAGTCCAGGCCGGCACCCCATCCTCTCAGGTGTCCCAGCCATCTGAAACCTGCCGAGAGCACGCTCCAGGTCTGGTGGTACCCCATCTCTGGGGGCCCAGTTGGGGGGAGGGGGGGTGCAGTGCAACCTCGCCCTCCCCCATGGCCCACCCCCGGCGGTAAAACAAGCCGGAGGAGCTCAGCTCTGCAGGAAGATGCCGCCCACTGCCGTCTCTCCTCCAAATAACTTGTCAGAAACAGCCGCCGCCACCGCCTTCCAGATCGGTTTCTGCCAGAGATGGTGCGGCAGGGACGCCCCGCCCCCCCACCCCCCCTGCCAGCTGCCCCTTCTGAGTAGTGACTTCCCAAGGGAAGGGGTGAGAGGAGCCCTCCCCCACAGAGTGAGGGGGGTGTGGGCTGGAGGGGCTGTAGCTCGGTCACCTGGAGTGTGTCCTGCCCCTTGCCAGCTGCTCTGGCCCTTGAGGGCAAGAAGTGGGCTTTCTCCCAGCCCCCTCAGGTGGCTGGCTGGCCCTGCCTTGCCCCTGCGGTGGGGAGTGGGCAGCCTCCTGAGGCACCGACTGGCACCAGTACCTAGGTCAGCCCGAGGGAGGAACCTGCATTTGTGTTCCCCTCCCACTGCAGTGATTTATCTCCCCCCTTGCTTTTCTTCCCCCAGAGGCCATTAACTGTCTCATGAGAGCCATCGAGATTTACACGGACATGGTAAGTAAGGGGCATCTATTGGCCTGCCTCCAGCTGCCAAGTGGAAGGGGCAGAGCCCTGGGGTATGGGGGCCACCCATTGGAAGCACCACATGTCCTCCTGGGTGGTCTGTGTACCCAGAGCTTATCCCTACCCAGTGCCCCATCTGATGACTCTGCTCCTCAAGACAGGAGGGGGACAGGGCTTCGTCTCTGACAGGAGGGCCACCCCCTCCCACCACCCCGCTTCCAGCACCTGGATTGATGCTTCTCTCACACACACCTGTCCACACCCCTCTGCAGGGGCCCCGCCCTGCCCCTCTGCAGCCTGGGCCCTGGTGGTCTGTGTCTGGGCTGAAGTGTAGCAGTCAGGGGAGGTGCACGAGGGAGGCGTGTTCAGGGGTGGGGGGCCGTCAGTCAGCGGGCGCCCTCAGTGGACCAGCCCCGTGGGCAGAGCACTGGCAGCACCAGGGCTCCTGAGGGCCCGAGGGATACGCACCTTCCTGCCCCGTGAGCTGGTGACCTCCTTGGAGAAGCACAGGGCACCCCTGGAGGGGAAGGCCCAGCCGTGTGGCCACCCAGGGACATGTGGGGACTCCAGTCCACAGTCCTGTGCCTGCCGGGTGCCTGGGCCACACTCCGCCTCTTGACCGACGACTGTTGACTACTTCCTGTGGGCAGGCCTGAGCCTAGCCTGCGGGGGACACATGCACGGTCCCCCGCACAAGCCGCCGTCCTCTCAGCCCTAAGCTGCTTGCCTCATCTCACGGGGGCTGTGGACCCCAGTCTGCCAGCATTGGGGCCCTGAGGGTAGAGGCCAGGGTGGGCCTGTAGGCGTCACTAGTCACAGTGCAGTGTCTGGTGTCCCTGCAGGGCCGCTTCACGATCGCAGCGAAGCATCACATCTCCATTGCAGAAGTCTACGAGACGGAGCTGGTGGACATCGAGAAGGTGGGGCTGGGCAGGCAGAGCCTGGTGGGGTCCTGGGCCTGAGCAGGGTGCCTCTCCCTCCCCACACCTCCGCACAGCCTGCTCCCCATGTCTCCCCAGGCCATTGCGCACTACGAGCAGTCCGCAGACTACTACAAGGGCGAGGAGTCCAACAGGTACGTCAGTGGCAGTCCCCAGGCCCCGATGCCCCAAGCCTCTCGGGGGGTCGCAGGCCCAGCCAACACGCACCTCTTCCCCGGCCTCCAGCTCAGCCAACAAGTGTCTGTTGAAGGTGGCCGGCTACGCCGCGCAGCTGGAGCAGTACCAGAAGGCCGTGGACATCTACGAGCAGGTCCCACACCCCCCACCCCGCCTCCCACTGCCCCCTCGCCCAGCCTTCTCGCTCAGCCTGGCATGACACCTTCTCCCCTGCCCACCGCCCTGGGAGGCTCTGCTGTCACATACAGACACATGCACACCCTGCCACCCCCACTTCCTGAGCCGCCTCAGGGAGACAGCTTTCCAGACCAGAGTTGGAAACGGGAAGGGTTGCCGAGGCCTGGGGTGGGTGGGTGCTGGGCGCAGGGTCCCCTGTCAGTCCGTGGGAAGTGGGGATCGTGACATGGACGCCTGGCTCCTCTCACTGCGTGGGGGGCGCTGGGTGGGACCAGGTTGCCCCAGCAGCTGGCCTTGGAGGAGAGGGGGGCGGGCACCACCTCATGTGTTCCCAACACTGCCACTCCCTGCCCACCAATATGCCAGCTTCCTGAGACCACCTGTGCCCACCCCAGGTGCTGCCTGTGTGGCAGGGCCACCCTGCCCTGGGGAACGTGCTCTGGAAATTGCTAACTTCCCAGAGAGAGGCCCCGGCCCAGGCTAACAGTTATCACCCAGGCATAGACCCGGAAGGGCACCCCTACCCTCACCCCCCCACCCCACACCCCGCCTTGCCCCAGTGAGCTCACAGTGCCACCTCCACACGGCCACAGGTGGGGACCAGCGCCATGGACAGCCCCCTCCTCAAGTACAGCGCCAAGGACTACTTCTTCAAGGCGGCCCTCTGCCACTTCTGCATCGACATGCTCAATGCCAAGGTGAGCCCCGCTGGGACCTGGTGTACCATGCCTGCCGCGCTGTGCCCCACCCTTAGCAGGGAGGTCAGCTCCCCGCTCCCCCTGCACCTCCCATCGTCAGCCTGGGGTCGGGATGTGTGCTCAAGTGGTGTGCACGTGCCCCTCCCTCCCCCACCTGCCTGGCCTCGGGGCATTTGAGTTTGGGACCCTAGCTGGCTTGTGACCGGCTCTGGGCCAGTGTTTCTCTGGGTGCACCTGGTGCAGGCGGAGACACGAGTCCCTGTTCAGGGCCCCTGGCTGGGAAGCTGCAGCCTTGAGGTTCCAGATCTTCCAGGCTCCCGTTCATGGCCTTCATCATGTCTGCATGCCCACCCCACCTTCTCTCAGGGAGCTAGTGTTGGGGGCGGCGGGGGGCTGGGGGCCGGGCTGGGGGGCATCTCCCCAAGGGGAATGGAAAGGAAGATGGAGGAGATGGGACAGGCCGTGGCACTTGGAAGAGACGAGTTGAAGCAAAATTGCGCACACATTGTTGAATGGAAACCTACGTTGGTCTCCAAGAGCGAGTGGACACGAGGTGGTTTTCAGTGGAGGTTGCTTTTTCGGAGCTGCCTGGGGTAGTGGAAATGGCATGGTGGAGGCGGCCGACTACCTGTAATTTCACGAGAGAGCAGGCCAGTACCCCCCCCCCCCCACCCTCCCGGGACACTCCGACTTCTCTTCCAGGCCCCATGCTTTGTTGCCTTGGCCACACACAGCTTCCAGACAACGTGGGGTCTGTTGGGGAAGTCACAGGTCGCAGGTCAGGATTCAGACAGACTAAGGACACTATTCTTCAGTTGGGACACCCTTTTCCCAGCCAGCGCCTGTAGACGGTGTGCCCTCCTTTCCCTCGGGCCTCAGGCCATCGAGCCTGTGCCCATCTTAAGCAAATATCACAGAGCTCTCTGGGCACCAGTAAGTACTTGGTGGCGCCCCACTCTGCCAGGAAGCCCCCAAGGGGCTCAGCCCTCTCGCTTCATAGGCTGGGAAGCCAGCCCACAGCAGCCCCTGCGTGCGGGTCCCCGGCGTCTGATGCCATCATTCCTCTCCTGCCTGCTGTTTTGTGCTGTCTCTGATGGAAATAGCTCTCTGCCTCCCAGGCCTTGAGAGGTTCCCAGCACAGGCACCTTGGGTTCAAGAGGACACACTCCACCCCTATCTCTTCCTGGGGTGGTAGTGAGAGCCTCACTTTCTTCCTTTGGGATTGCCCATTTGAAGCCCAGAACTGACCAGTCCCTTGGAGAGGGCAGGGTTCCACACATCTTGTTGGTGTGGGTGAGTGGGCATCACAAAGATGATGTACTTGATGTACTTCACTGTGCCGCAAGGTTTCCAGGAACTGCCGGAGCCTCAGTGCCTGCACGGGTCCCTGTGGACCCACCCTGCGTCCTTCCTGTGTGTGTGATAGAGTGGATGGGCCACTCCTGGGACGTCGTTCTTAGCCAGGAGTCCCTGGTGCTGCAGTGTGAACGCACCGCTGTCGACCAGAGAAGGGCCAGGATGGCCACGGAATGAATGCCCTGGGGAGCAGTGTTCCACCCCGACACCAGGGCCACCGTGAGGCAGGGTCTTGCCATGAATCTAGTTCACACGGGCTCAGCCTACATGTTGTGCAATCCTGGGGGTCTTGACAGAGACATGCCCTTGTGCCTCCGTGTTCCAGGAACAGAGTCGTCTCACTAACCAAGCGGGGTCCTGCGTCTCCCCTGTCCATCCCCCCGCACTCCAAAGGGTGTGTTCACTGTCTCGGGGCTCTCAGTCAATGGGCCAGTGGGATCCCCAAGCCGGTGGGCCAGGCCCAGGATCAAGGTTCCTGGATGCCCCAGAACCGCGCCCCCTCCACACACACACACATACTCAGAGCAGAAGCCAAAATTCACCTGCCTGCTCCACGGGCTGCCGGCAGAATGGTTTGGAGCGTGAGCTTGGGGGTCCAGTCAGGTTCAAGTCCTGCTACATCCTACCGATCCCGTGCCCCCAACAGGTCCGTGGCCCGCTCTGGGCCCGCATCCCCACCGCTCTCTGTGTGAATATTGTTGGTGTGGAGGCTGAACG